CATATTTCATATATAAAATAACTTGGATGAATTAATGATAACAAAACATGCAAATCATGAATTCAAGTCAAAACGTTGGGAGAAGAATTCACTCGTATTTACCCGATTTTTTGAAAGATGTAATTGAACCAAATAGTCGATGAACTTCCACATTATATATATATATATATATAAAATTGTCTTGCCGAGAAATAAATCTAATTTGGCAAAGAATAAAGACTTTGTAAAACAGAGTTCCACTAACTCGTCAACTTGTAGACCGAATCTACTACCATCAAATCCAAATCCCAACGAAAGAAAGTATTTGAGTTACAGAAGATATTTGAAAAATCTTGGAATTAGAATCCCCAGTTGATATTGGTTTTTATATGATCCAATAGATCCACGGTCCAAAATCTGGGTTAGGTATATTTACTAATTAAAGTTGAAAAACATCGAAATAATTGATACGGTGTATCGTACGTAAAAAATACGATAGGTGATAAAATAATATACCATTAGATATAGGTTTCGACTATTGACTTGTCGTTGGGCTTTTCATTTGGGGTTGGGCCATTTGAGAGCTTAGGGTTGTTTTCCGCAGTTCACGACAAATCAGAATCGCAAATCTCCCAGAGTTCTTTCTGGTTCTCAATCTGTCTTCGTGCTGAAACTCAGGTGTCGGCGATGCTTCGGAGAATGGCTCCTGCTTCTACTTCAGCTTTTGTTCACTCTCATCTCTCCTCTTGTTTCTGCCGTCGTCTTAGGTTCAGCCGTTCTGTCTCTTATAGGGAGAGATTGAGGTCTGGGTTTGGTAATAGTAATGTGAGAGATGCTGTTGATGTATTCGACCAGATGGTTCGATCTCGTCCCCTCCCTTCCATTGTTGATTTCAGTAAATTACTAAGTGCGATTGCCAAGATGAAACGGTATGATATCGTGATTTCTCTTTGCAAGAGGATGGAATTGCACGGGGTTTCACATGACAACTACAGTCTGAATATTCTTATCAACTGTTTCTGCCGCTCACGTCAAGTGGGTTTGGGATTTTCTGTTTTGGGGAAGATCATGAAATTGGGTTACGAGCCAAATGTAATCACGTTCACCACTTTCATCAATGGATTATGTATAGAGGGTAAGCTTTCCGCGGCATTAAGCTTGGTCGAACGAATGGTAAAGGATGGATACACTCCTAATGTCGTGACATGTACCACCGTTGTCAACGGACTTTGTCTCCAAGGTAGAATCCATGAGGCTGTCACTTTAGTTGATCAGATGCCAAAGAAAGGCTATCAACCCGATGTAATCACTTATGGTGCTATTGTGAATGGCATTTGCAAGTCAGGAGATTCTGCTCTAGCTTTAAATTTGCTCATCAAGATGGAGGAAAGGCATGTTGAGGTCAACGTCGTAGTTTATAATACGATTATAGATTGTCTTTGCAAAGATGGACGTGTAGATGATGCGCTTAACCTTTTCAAAAAGATGGATGATCGAGGAGTTGCGCCAGATGTTGTTACCTACAACACTTTGATAAACGGTCTTTGTTGTTACGGTAGATGGACAGATGTCACACGATTATCGAATGATATGATCAAAAGGAATATCACTCCTAATGTTGTCACTTTCACCGGATTAATTGATGATTTTGTCAAAGAGGGGAAGTTTCTAGAAGCCAGAGAACTTTACGAGCAGATGGTCCAGAGAGGTCTGGTTCCGGATACTATCACTTATACTTCGTTGATTGATGGACTCTGCATGCAGAATCGCCTTGATGAGGCGAAAAAAATGTTTGATTCTATGGCTACCAAGGGATGTTCTCCAGATGTAGTGACTTTTAACGCTCTCATAAATGGATACTGCAAGTCTGGTAGGGTTGACCAGGGTATGAAACTCTTTAGTGAGATGTCTCGTAGAGGAGTTGTTGCTGATACATGTACTTATAATTCTCTCATCCAAGGGTTTTTTCGAGCAGGCAATCTTGATGCTGCCCGAAAACTTTTCCTAGAGATGCAGTGTCAGGGTCAATATCCTGATCTTGTAACTTTTAAAGTCCTGCTTGATGGGCTATGCAAGAATGGAAAGCTAGAAGAGGCATTTTGTTTATACAACAAGATGGAAAAGAGTGGGATGAACCTCGATATAATCGCACATACTATAATCATTCATGGCTTGTGTGTGGATGACAAGGTTGAGGACGCGTTGCGATTGTTTAATGGGCTTTTGGATAGAGAAGTGGAACCAAATGTGAAAACATACACTGCAATGATTTCGGGACTTTGTAGAAAAGGTTTACTGGATGAAGCCGAAAAGCTATTTAGAGATATGAAAGTGGCTGGTTGTCTGCCAAATGATCGCACATACAATGCGTTGATTCAGGGTCATCTCAGGAATGGATATACATCTAAGGGTATCGAGCTTGTACGTGAAATGCGTAGCTGTGGGTTCTCTGCGGATGCATCGACCACGGAGATTATTGTAGATATGATATGCGATGGAAGATTGGATAAGAAGTTCATGGATTCTCGTCCATAGTTGTTTGGTCTTCGCAGTAGGATCTTGGTCTGTGTAACGGCATATCATTTGAACAACAGGTTGGTCTTTCTTTCTTGTGATTGGCATGTTTATGTGTTGCGTGTCAGTTTGGGAGTTCGTTCTTATCTGCTTTTTTTTGTTTTTTCCTGTGGATGGTTTTGTTCTTTAGGAGCGATGCCTGCAAGTGAATTGGAGACTTACCAGGCGATTGGATCCTTCTTCTTGGTAAGGAACAATTGCTATATGATTGTTTTTGAATTCTCTTTCATAATGGTTTCTGTAATGATCCTTCTTCTGTTTGGTAAGGAGAAATCGCTGTTCTTCTTACTACTAATGTTCTTATAAATTGTCATTAATCTTTCGGATATTTTTGAATCGATCGTCGTGTAATCATCCAAACAAAACCCTTTATATATATATTTTTTTGGTTTGTATTACTCCAATGAAAGTCGTTTACAGAAGATAATGTACAGGCCTGACATCAAGGAGTTAACCATACATAACATAAACTCGCAAAGCGAGAACGAAACCCTTCAAAAGGGACAGTGTCTATGGCCAAAAGGGAATCAGCCGTGCATTCGTCTCCTTCCACGGCCTGGGCGATGGTAGCTCTTCATCGGGATCGATCATGCGTAGGATTACGGAGCCAATGGCTGCAGGCCGAGCCATGGTAGTCTAGGGCCGATTGGGCTAATGTACTCCTTCATCTTGATTATCTAAAAATTTACATATATATGTGGATATATACATGTGTATATGTATATATACTTATAATTGTGTGTGTGATAAGCATTGAGAAATAGAAATTTAGAAAATAATGAAATTTGATCCGAACCAAGTTAAAACCAATAAAAAAAATAGAATAGATATAGTTTTTAAAATTTTGAAAAACTCTAAACACCAAATTAATCAAATCCAAAAGTGACTAAAATCGGAATCATCTAACCATAACTAATACAAATATACAGAACCCATACAATTATGTGAAAATGAAATTACACAAAACCGGTTTACTATCGTATATTTAACTGTGTAAAGAGGTCGTCATTTCGGGTACAGTTCGATTACATCCGGTTTTGATTATAGAAAAACTGTAAATCCAAAAAATAAAACCAAAAACCCAAAATAAAAACCATCCCCACAAAGCCTATATATTTCGTTTTTTTTTTCTTGGAATAATTTTATTAGACTTTACTTTTCTGATATTTTTTAAATTTCTTCCTTTCAAAATAAATAAATAGAAAATCGAAAATTTTTTAGTGGAAGATGTTCAATAAAGAATTAGAGTTTATTTGAAACAATTAGATCGAGTTATTGTTTATTTTGAATAGTTGTGGAACTATTAAACTAAGAATCGTTATGTTAGAATGTCGTTGAAAAATTTAAGATAGTTGATATTTTTTGGAATTTCACTTCTTGATAATAGGTGAATATGTTTCTAAACAATCTATATAGGGGTATTTATAATCATTTAGATATAGATTGTACTTGATTATCTAATTTATATATTACTTTCAATTGATTCCGTTTTTGTAAAAAAGTAGGTATATCGTCTGTATTGAAATTTATTTATACTTTGATATTTTAGATTTCTACTGTCTATTAAAAGAATAAAGGTATACATTGTTGATTATAAATAGTACTTGAAATATAATATTTAATACAAAGATAATGGTTTATAAATAATATTTATACTTAATATATTTTTATATTCTATTTTTGAAAACAGATTGGAATAATGATTTGGCATGGGGGAAGTTGGTGCCTTGGTGGGCATATTCGCCAACTCATCCGACCGGTCTAGTGCTATTTCTCCAGGGGGGACAAATCCCGTCTTGATCGTCTCTTACCTTGCCACATAGTTCATAATGTATCCAATCGTGCCTTTTTATAATTGTGTAGTTAGTGCACATAGCTTGATTACATCAATGCACACTAATTCATATGTTGGGCATCATTGCGACCTCATCAAATTTTAGGACAGACTATTATATGAGATTTACATCGAGTAGATTATCACTCATACTATAGTTATATTTTTCTAACATATGAGCATATTTTATATGTTGTAAATTTTGAAAGATTTAACTCAAATCCAAAATAAGTAAAAAAACAAACCATGCCGACGATTTCAAATAAATTTGAGACGAAGAAGATGTTGATGTTGAAGTTTGTATCGAAATACTTGAAATATAAATCTGTATTTTTTTAAAAATATTTTCAAAAAAAATTGTGTATTTTTTGAGATTTTTCATATAATATACTATTAGATTTTGCTTTCAATGATTATTTGAAAGAGGTACAAGAGAGATTTTTTTATTGATCCGAGAAATGTTTACAACTATTGAGTAGGAAAATTGAGTGTGGGCTATGGGCCATCATCCAATTGGGCTTTGGGCCATTTGCAAATCCAATTGGGGGTTAGGGTTTCGTTTTCGCAGTTGACAACTCGGAGCTTTTGGTTAATGATGGAAGTTGCAGATCAGAATCATTCCGCCTCAGATTTTGTCTCCACTTTTCTCTGTCGTCGTTTTCAGATCCAGTAGTTATCTCTCTTTCTGGGAGAGATTGAGATGCGGGTTTGGTCATATTTTGTAAACTCGTAAAATCAGAATCGCAAATCTCCCAGAGTTCTGATTCTCAATCTGTCTTCGTGCTGAAACTCAGATGTCGGCGATGCTTCGGAGAATGGCTCCTGCTTCTACTTCAGCTTTTGTTCACTCTCATCTCTCCTCTTGTCTCTCTCTTCGTCTTAGGTTCAGCAGTTCTGTCTCTTATAGGGAGAGATTGAGGTCTGGATTTGGTAATAGTAATGTGAAAGATGCTGTTGATGTATTCGACCAGATGGTTCGATCTCGTCCCCTCCCTTCCATCGTTGATTTCAGTAAATTACTAAGTGCAATTGCCAAGATGAAACGGTATGGTATCGTGATTTCTCTTTGCAAGAAGATGGAATTGCACGGGATTTCACATAGCAACTACAGTCTGAGTATTCTTATCAACTGTTTCTGCCGCTCACGTCAAGTGGGTTTGGGATTTTCTGTTTTGGGTAAGATCATGAAATTGGGTTACGAGCCAGATGTAATCACATTTAACACTCTCATCAATGGATTATGTATAGAGGGTAAGCTTTCCGCGGCATTAAGCTTGGTCGAACGAATGGTAAAGGATGGATACACTCCTGATGTCGTGACATGTACTACCGTTGTCAACGGACTTTGTCTCCAAGGTAGAATCCACGAGGCCGTCACTTTAGTTGATCAGATGCCAAAGAAAGGCCATATACCCAATGTAATCACTTATGGTGCTATTGTGAATGGCATTTGCAAGTCTGGAGATTCCGCTCTAGCTTTAAATTTGCTCATCAAGATGGAGGAAAGGCGTGTTGAGGTCAACGTCGTAGTTTATAATACGATTATAGATTGTCTTTGCAAAGATGGGCGTGTAGATGATGCGCTTAACCTTTTCAAAAAGATGGATGATCGAGGAGTGGCGCCAGATGTTGTTACATACAGCACTTTGATAAACGGTCTTTGTTGTTACGGTAGATGGACAGATGTCGCACGATTATTGAATGATATGATC